TCGTGCGGCGTTCAATTTCACGTCGCGCCGCTGCAGTGCTACACCAACCAGCACCTGCGCGCCCTGCTCCGGCCGCTGTGCCCATCCGCGGTCTTGTGGACTGAGATGGAGAAGGCTGAAGGATTGCAGCGGCCCTCGGCGGTCGATTTGCGATCGCTGCGCCCGGATGATGAGCGCGGGCCGCTCGTGCTGCAGCTCGGCGGCGGCGGCGCCACGCAGCTGGCCTCTGCGGTGCGTGCGACGGCTGGACTCGGCTTCGACGAGATCAACCTCAACGCGGGATGCCCATCCGTCGAGACGGGCGGGGCTAGCTACGGGGCGCGCTCTCGCCATCTCAGGACCCGCCGGCACCCTTCCCTCTCGCCCGGAGACAAGCCTCGCCCCTCTCGCCCCTCCAGGCGAGCCTTATGCTCGACGGCCACCGCACGCGCTCGCTCGCCGAGGCGATGGCGGAGGCGCATGGCGGCGCCGTCTCGGTCAAGTGCCGCCTCGCCGCCAGGGCGTCTCTTCTCGCCGGTGTGGGCGATTGGCGGAGAACGCCTTGCGCCCGTCCAAGACATGTCCGTGACACGTCCGGGCTGTGTGCCGCAGGTGGGCGAGTGCCGGAGACCGCCTTCGAGGAGCTCGCGGAGTACGTTGACCAGATCTCCCACACGGGAGCCGTCTCGCACGTCGTCGTTCACGCGCGTGCCGCCATCCTCGGCGGCCTCAGCCCTTCCAAGAACCGACAGGTGCCTCGCCCCTGCCCTTGTTGGGACAATGAATGGCAACGAAGACACGAGCACCGAGGCACTTTGATCAGCGCACAGACGCTTGACGTCAAGCTTCGGTCCGCAGGTCCCTCCACTCCGGCCTGATCTCGTGCGGAGGCTCGCCGAGGTGTTCCCAGGCCTGCGGATCACCCTCAACGGCGGCCTGTCTGCGTCCGACCTCCAGGACGCGGCGGCGACGCGGCTCGATGGTCTGATGTGCGGCCGCACCGTCCTGCGGCGGCCCCTCGACTTGGCGCGCGACTCGCGTGGCGCAGAGAAGCAAGGCGTTGTCACATCGCCCTTGACTGACACGGATGTCGCGTGCCGGCTCTAGGCACGCCACTCGCGGCAGGTCGCGGTTAGGGTTAGGGTCAGGGTTAGGGTTAGGGTTAGGCACGCCACTCGCGGCAGGTTGCGGCGGCGCAGCGCGCGGACGAGGCGGCGGGCGAGGCGGTGCGGCCAGAAGAGAGAAGCAAGAGAGTCTGCTCCCAAGAGTCGTGTCTGTGCTGGTGGGGCGGAGGGGGGAGAAGGAGGGAGGTTCAGCCCCGGAGGCTTGCGCTCGTAGGCGGTGCTGCCCCTCCCCCCCTCTGCGGTGGCGGAGCTGGCCGGGAAAGCGCTCGCACGGTACGAGCGGCACGCGCTGGCGGCGCTCGCGGGCGGCGCGGCGATGCCGGCGGTGCTGATGCCGCTGGCGCTCCTCAACGGAGGAGGGCCCAGGCCTCGCGCCGCACATCTGTCTGTACGGCGGCCAGTCTTGCTTGCTTAGGCGCTCCTCGCGGAAGAGCTCGCCGAGGAGGCGTCTGCGTTGGCGGAGGCGGAGGCGGAGGCGGAGGCGGAGGCGGAGGCGGAGGCGGAGGCGGAGGCGCTCTGGGACGTCTTCGAGGCGACTTGGGGCACGGCCGCCCATTTGCTCGAGGCGCGCGGCCAACGGGCGCCGCGGTGTGCGGGGGGGCGCGACGTTGGCGCGGGGGGGATGCCCGTGCGGCGGCTCTCGCGTTTTCTCTCACAGGCGAGGTCTTCACCGCTTCCACCGCCGTCGCCCGCTGCGTTGCCCTCCCCCTCTCTGGCCGCCGACGCCGCCGGCATTGCCGCCGCCGTTTCTCCGCCTGCCCCGAGCTTGCCCCGAGCCTGCCACCGACGGCTCTCGCGCCTCGTGTCGCAGGCGTGCGGCAAGCAGGCGTACAACAAGCTCCTCCGTAACCGGAGAGAGGACGTGCGAGGCGGCGGCGGCGGCGGGCTGGGAGGAGGCGGCCGCTGTGGGGGCGAAAGCGTCGTCCAGTTTGGGGCGCAGCCGGCCGCTGTGAGCCCGGCAACCGTGACCCGTGCAAACTGCGGGGTTGGTGCACCTCGTCCTTCGCCGCGTGCGCTTGCTGCTGCGACCCGGACACGGCACACGGCTGTCTCACGAGGCGGCTGCACGGCCGCTACCGCTTGCCGGCGAGGGCTTCCGGCGCCGCGGCTGGCCCGCGCTGCAACTCGGCGCGCGGCGGCTCCTCGGGCGACGCCTCCGCTCGCGTGCAACGGAGGGCCTCCCCCGCGGAAGGAGCTCCCCGCCGCGCTGCAGCGCGTTTGCGCCCTCCTCACGCGCTACTCGCCGCTGTGGGCCCTTTCGGTCGCTCTGGTGGGCGTGAGCCGCCCCTCCTCGTTCCGCCCGCTCAGCGCGCTGCCCGTCGTGCAGCGCGCTTTGGCGACGCTCATGCTGGCGATGGGGCTCAGCACGACTCCCGCGGAGCTTGCTTGCGCGGTTGGCGAGGTGCGGGTCTTGGGACTCAACAGTCTTTGCTGCTTTGGACTCATGCCACTGACGGCGCTGGCTGTCGGGTCGGCGCTGAAATGCGACGCGGAGATGCTGACAGGGGTCGTGCTGCTCGGCGCCGTCAGCGGTGGGCAGGCGTCGAATTTGTTCGCGCTGCTCGCGAACGGAGATGCCGCCCTCTCCGTCGTCGCCACCACAACCACGACGCTGCTGGGCGTGCTCGCCACGCCGTGCTTGGCACATTTGCTCCTCGGCGGCGTTTCCATCCCCGTCGATGCGACGGGGGTCCTCCGCTCCGTCGCTTCGCTGGTGCTTGTTCCGCTCCTGTTCGGAGTAGCGATGGGCTTGCGGCTGCCCGCGCTCGTAGCCCGCGTCGCTCCGCTCTGCCCTGCGGTGGGCGTGCTCTCCACTCTCGTCCTCGTCGCTGGCGGCGCCTCCTCCTCCGCCTCGCTCCTCGTCGCGTCCGACGGAGCTTGGCGCGCTCATGCTGCTGCGGTCGCGCTCCCACTCGCCGGAGGTGCGGTCGCCCTCGCTCTTGCAAAGCTTGCACGGCTGCCCGAGCGAGTCACGCGGACGCTGACCATCGAGACGATGATAAAGTCGCCGACACTAGCGTACGTGCTGGCGTTGCGCCACTTTTCTCCGCGCGCCGCAGCGGTGCCGGCTGCAGCGATGGTATGGCTCGCGGCGCTGGGAGCAGCAACCGCGAGCATGTGGCGGAGGGTGCCCCTGCCGCAGACCAATGACGTCGGGGGTGACCGGAGTTTTTAATCACCCCCCCCCTCCCCCCCTCCCCCCCCACGACCTTGTGTGAGTGGGAGAAGTTAGACTTTTCCACTCGGTACCTAAAAATATCTCTCTCGTGCTTGGAGCACTTGGAGTGCAGTCAGTAACCTCACATGGGCCGGATGATCGGCATCGGGTTAAAGCCGTACGGGCTAGAGAGCCCTAGCCCTGGGGGGTGCGCGTTCGCAGGGAAAGGGCCGTAAAGTAAACACGGGTCTCCGAGGGTTAGTCCGCGCTCCAGGTTTCCCCTAGCAGCGGAGCGCCCCCTCTACTCGGAGCTTAATAAACACCAGACACGCACACGACGTACATCCTCACTCGACGTCACCCCTCGGGGCTTCTCCGTTCGGCCTCCCCCCCTCGGTCCGGAGGGGCCCTCCTATCCTCTCGGTCCTCCCCCCACTCGCTTTCCGCTGGTTGGGCAACGGATGCGGGGCCCGGCTCCCCCTCGCCTAGCCTTTTTCGGCCGCGGCCCCGCCGCCGTCTCGCCCTCTCTGCCTGCTCCTGTTGACTCCGCCTCCGGCGATCCCGTGCCCGACTCCTCGGGCGAGGGCGGCGGCATTGGATCGCCACGCCGCCCCTCCCCGGGAGGTGGGGCCAGCTCTCTTCGGTCGAGGAATCGCGCCCGCCCCCGCGGTCTCTGTCGATGAGGTTGATCACAGGCATGGCCCAGAGGTATCCTGGTGGCGGAGGAGAGGGCGGCGAAGGAGAGGGTGGTGGTGGAGAGGGCGGCAAACGAGAGGGCGGCGGCGGTGAAGGCGGTGGAGGGGACGGCGGCGGTGGAGAGGGAGGCGGGGGCGAGGGAGGAGGGCTTGATGGAGGAGGAGAGGGCGGCGGCGGCGACGGGGGAGGCGGAGAGGGTGGTGGCGGAGAGGGCGATGGCGGATGAAAGGGCGGCGGCGGAGATAGTGGTGGCGGAGAGGGAGGCGGAGGTGAGGGGGGAGGGCCTGGTGGCGGAGGAGAGGGCGGCGAAGGAGAGGGTGGTGGTGGAGAGGGCGGCAAACGAGAGGGCGGCGGCGGTGAAGGCGGTGGGGGGGACGGCGGCGGTGGAGAGGAAGGCGGGGGCGAGAGAGGAGGGCTTGATGGAGGAGGAGAGGGCAGCGGCGGCGACGGGGGAGGCGGAGAGGGTGGTGGCGGAGGGGGCGATGGCGGAGAGGGCGGTGGCGGAAATGGTGGTGGCGGCGAGGGAGGCGGAGGTGAGGGCGGAGAGCTTGGTGGAGGTGGAGAGGGCGGTGGTGGGGATGGTGGTGGCGGAGAGGGTGGTGGCGGGTGCGGCGGTGGAGGCGATGGCGCTTGGCGGTGGCGGTGACGGTGGCGGCGGAGAGGGAGGCGGAGGTGAAGGAGGTGGCGGAGACGGTGGTAGCGGAGAGGGAGGCGGAGGAGAGGGCGGAGGGCTTGGCGCCAGAGGAGAGGGAGGCGGGGGAGAGGGCGGAAGTGCAAACCTCTTTATTTATCTCTTGCGCGCCTCGCCCTCGGAGCTCGGTGTACTTGGAGTACTTGGAGTGCAGTCATTAACCGCACATCCAGGGCCGGGGAGCTAAGAAGCGCACCCAGCGGTCCGGATGATTGGCATCGGGTTGCGGGCAAGAGAGCCCTAGCCCTGGGGGTGCGCGTTCGCAGGGCAAGGGCCGCAAAGTGTAATTCTTGTCATTTGTCAAGGCCCCAACACACTCCTCGCACTCGTAACGACATCGAGCCGGCCGCCGATGCCAAAGCACGCGCACCTGAGCGAGGAGGAACTGGCCGAGTTTCGAGAGATTTTCAACCTGGCGCGCGGCGCGCAGCTGCCACACGCTGCCACACGCTGCAAACTGCTGCACATGCCGTCTGCTCGAGCAACCTCAGTGCTCTGCTGCATACGCACATGATGTGCGGAGGAGGAGGAGAGCTTGCTTGTAGGTCGACCTGGACAAGGGCGGCTCAATCTCCAAGGATGAGCTTCTGGCACTGATGAATACGCTGGGCTTGAAGCCCAACCAGGCGTCGGGGAATGGCTCAGCATGTGATGGCAGGCGGCCGCGCCCCTCAAATGCCACCCCTCACATCTGCTCCCCAGGAGGAGCTAGACGCGATGGTCGCCGAGATCGACGAGGATGGCAATGGCGAGATCGACTTTGACGGCGCGGCGTGCGGGATGTGAAACGGGAGTGCGCCCTCTGACGCACGCCCCCCGCCCTTGAGCAGAGTTTGTGACGATCATGGGCCGGCAAGTCAATGGGGTGACACCGGAGAGAGTCAAGGCGGCGGAGGCCATACTGCCACACCTCTTCGCACCGCCTCTCCCTCTCTCGTCTATCGAATCGCGTCTCGCTGCTGCCTCTCCTCCCTGCCACATCCCGCCCGTCCGCTCCACTTGCCTGCCGCCTCCCTCACCACCCGCTGCAATCACCGCCGCTACCACTGCTGTCGAGGCGGCCTTCAAGTGCTTCGAGGAGAGCGGAGTCGGCTCGGGCCACGTTACGATGGCCGCTCTCGAGCGAGGTTGCCGCACAACGGTAGATGCACCTCTCTCGCATCGTCATGCTTCTCTTTCCCGCCGCTGCTCCCAACGCATTCGCGCTGTGGGTTCGGCCGGGACCAGCGCGCCAACCAGCTCAACCAGCGCGCCGAGACTTACCACCCCTCTTCTTCACCTGCAGCGCTGACCACCTACGGCTCGGAGAAGCTCCCCCTAGCTGACGCGCGCGCGCTGCTTTCGCTGATCGAGCCTGACAGCGCGGGGCGCGTCACCTGCGGCGGCTTTGGCAAGCCGAGACGGCGTCTCTAACCCCTCAACGTTGATAGGCGGGTGAACTACGTCGACTTTGTCAACATGATGACAGGAACTTGAGGCGAGCGCTTTTGCAAGATTAGCCGCGAGTGCCGCAGGAGGAGAGGGCGACCACTACTTGACACGGCGGTGGCGCTTGCGAGGGCGGAGCTGTTGCATGCTGGCGAAGCGAGAGCTGCAGATCGCAGTGTCAAGATTGGCTTCAGAGCTCCTCCTCTAAGGATCTGGAGAAGCAGACGTGGCCGCTCCAACAAGTACAGAGGACAGAACTCCATGAGCGAACAG